TATATATACACACACATGTTTCATCGCGAGATATACACCTGTGATAATTGTACGCCTGCGGGGAAACGGATTAATAATTCTATAGACACAAGTTATACGTTATTGTTTTAAAAAAATTTCCGGGGATGATTCACAAGACGAAGAAAAAGAGGAAAAAGGATGAAGAAACCTTGAATCTTATCTTCGCTGCTTAGCAACATACTACATATTTCTGGAATTGACCGAACGTAATACAAGTATATAATTTTTAATCATTACCGCGCAATCACGTCAACACTACATACTTATCAGACATCCACTCATCGTTGCGTTATCGACACCAGAAAGTATCGCGCGCGTTATCGAATCGCTTGCAAAGGTTCTTTTGACGATCGTATGATCGGTCCTAAGTATATTGCACACGAAGTAAGCACTAGACAGCAAATAGAGAGAGAGAGAGAATTGTTTCATCGGACGTACGTACATACATATGTACATACACGAGAGAAGACGGTGTGTACTGTGTGTAGTCTGACACGGAATTTGCATTAGACCACACAGATAAGATACTGTTTACTCATTATTCGTTTCAAGTTAGATATGTCAATGCTGTAATTTCTCGAGTCGCGCGCACGTGACTGTTCATGTTTGTGAAATTCAATTTCATCGTCACGCGTGTACAAAATTATGCATGAAAAATACTTGTACAGAGTCAGTCGATCGTTTGAAATCGGTATCGAATAGGACGGTAGCGACGTCGATGTGAAATCAGACTTTTTGCGTAAATTGTCGTAAGATTTGTAGAAATAGAATTCGTCTAAAATTATACAGAATCGATTAAAAATTATTACGATGATGATGATGATGATGATGATGATGAAATCATTGAAATTGTTCGAATGTTTTGAATCAGACATTGCTTTAAACCCTTTTTATTGTTTAATAAAACTAATCGACGCAGTCTTCTCGAAAAAATGATGTGCATGTACACTATGCGACTACTCTCTGTCTGTGGCACTTTGTTCGCTCTCTGCGTCTGTCGATTAACACAGTATGCCTGTATCTACTGATATCTACTGAATGCTAATTATATTCGACCTACCGAGCAACACCGCGGAAGGTCAAAAAGATTGAACGACGCTCGTTGAACAAGCGCGGTATTCTGTCGTCGTTTTTACTACTCAGAGATCACACAGGTACGTACGAGAAACTATGGTCTCGCAATTGTCGCACGAGTCATAAATCTTTTTGGTCTTCATACAACGACGTGTACGTATTATTGCTTCGCAACGTGGACGCGATATGATCCTGAATTCTGAACCTGAAATTACGCGATTATTGGAGCTGCGGGAACGTTCGTGAAAAACGTGTCTCTTTGAACTAATATACATTCACATAGTAGGTCGGCTGGTCGTTCTACGATTCGTTTCGTCGTCCCTCTAGACAAGACCTCTAGTATCAGTTATTCATTCGTTCGACTCTCTTTATAAAATCGTTGAAACATGTTTCTTATAGATTCCCGAGGATAGTATAAGTACTGTACGTACATGTATGCATGTACACACTTTCATTGAGATCGATCGGAACTCGTGTGTGTACGTCGACAGACAGACCGAGAGAGAGAGAGTCGAGTAAAAAATCTCGTCCTTTATTTTTTTCGTCCGTTTCTTGCGCGTCGCGATCGGGACCGCGTCGCGGCATACGTAGAAGCAACCAAAGGGGAAATTCCTCTCTGTCAGATATGAATCGATGTCGGTACTAATGACGAGTGCAGTGTTACAAGTACTTATCAGCGCAGTGTCAAATGACTTATGGCAAAAGTAGACGTGTTTTTCGGAGGATTCCATGGCGGGGGTATATCGCTTAGAGTATTGAGATAAGGTAGCTCATCGTCGCGCGCGCGGTGGTCATCTCGAGTGCCGATTGCGTGCGCGTATACGCGCCACGCGCACGGTCCTCTTATATATAGACTCGCGGCGCGCGCTCTTTCCTAGTTCCGAATTACGTTTCAGCACTAGCAGCAACTTTCGTTAAATTTTACTCGTCGTCATCGTGACACTCGTGGAAGCTTTCATCATGGCCAAGGACAATCTCACAGCCATCCAGTACGGTATCAACGACATCAGACTGGTTGGTATTCTTGGTTGTTTACACGCTGTCGAAGAAGACGCTTTATTTCTTTTTGTAAATGGTGCGAGTCGTCTCAAATTCGATGCGATGCGAACTTGAGATCAAGTGTCATCGTAATATACTTATACAGACTCGTTCCGCAATGATTATTAGTTGCGCAGGTTGTCACATTGGTGTCACAACTTGCATTGTCCACGTGTTACATAGTTATTCAACTCGCCGCTGTTTGCTTCCTTATTTGAAATATAATTTTCGATTAATGATCATTACCTCTCTCTTTCTCTCTCTTTTTCTCTGATGCAAATGATGACGGATCAGCACTGTCAGATGTGTAGGTTTACAAGTATTCGCATTTATTATTCAATGAAATTACATATGCCTGATATTATCGACGATAGTCGACATACATTCAAGTTGAAACTCGTGTGTCGTGTGGCGAAGGGAAACTATAGATGATGAATTATCGAGTTTACTCGCGATGCCGCGATTCGCCTTCGTTTCTTCGCTTGTCGCGCGTCTCACCGTCGTCGTCGTTGATTGAAACGGCCGGTGAAGTTACAGCCGCGATTAACATCGCGGAATTGTCTCAATCTTACAGCAGCGGGGGCACCGTGTGTCTGCGAACATACTACGTGCAAGAACAAGGCATTACCCGCGTCTTTTCGCGGTCATTATTTTCGCTGCGGTTCGTTCGCGCGGTCATCGAATCATTGTTCACCGTATTGTATTCGGTAACTTAATTTAATTTATTAAATAACAATACGATTTTGTGTCGACGGTGACTACTTTGCTTAAACACGGGTGAGACGTCGCGTCGCGTCGTCCGTCGTAAGAGTTCGGGACGAGAGGATGCCTCACGATACGATCGTGGTACACATGGGGCTAAAAGATATACTAGGTTCTATCCTTGAAGGTTTTAGTGGTGGGCAGTAGTAGACAGTTTGAGACAGGTAGGACAAGTTTGCAAACGGTATGAATCGAAGAGTCGAGTAAAACTAGAGAAAGACAGGTTAGTCGTAGGACGATGACCGATTTCATTGGTATAATAGAGGTTACTAGGAGTATCTCTAGCCTAAATACTAAATATATCTGGCTGGTATATTATCTTAAATACCAAATAATATCGTTGATCGATGACAACTGATGGCCGCGACTTATGCGCGGCGCGTAGAAGCCAGCACCTGTTGATCTTGATATACACATAGCGCACAGCGTGCGTCTTGATCTGACAATGTCAATATCATCGCTTATTTATTGATGACGGCGCTCTCTCTCTCTCTCTCATGTCAGCGGTTGTGACACCAACTTTGACTGTTTAGGTACACGCGTGCACGTACGTACATACGTACATTGTGATATTATTGTACGCATTGTCTACGCGCGTTGTGAATAATGAAATTCGATCGTTCCAACTTTTCTGTCTCTTCTCACATTTCTCGTTCAGTCATTTTCCAGTTTTTATCTCTGATCAAGTTGGTCTTGTGTTTTAATTCTGTTTTTCTCTGTTTGAATTTTCTAGGAACAGACTCCTATCGAAGAGCCCAACGAAAATGGTTCGTTTTTACCACCACCACCATCAACACGCTTCTCTCTCGACTCGAATGTTCATTGAACAAAGTCAGATCGTCGTCGTCGTCGTCGTCGTTGTCACCATTCGTCGTCATTCATTTTATTCGTTTTTTTTTCGCCTGTTGGTACTAGTCCAGTGCTAATTACTACTGTTGCACGTAGTAGTGTAGTACGCAGGCGAGAACCCGAAAATTGGCCGGGCCGGGACGAAAATTGTCCTGCGGGATCGGGATGGAGGTCCTCGAAAATTTCGGGATTCCCGACATTCCCGAGAACCCCTCCCCCTCCACCGACTCTGACGGCCTTTCTTGCGATCAATTTTGGGGTTCTCGTATTTTCACGTTCTCGCGCACACACGCACGCACACACGTCTCTACTAAATCGCGATTACTACACAGCTCACTGCAATAGGACGTTTACAATATGGATATTCGTATTTTTTCTTTTAACTATATAAAATTAAACAAACGAAATGCATACGAACGCATTTATTTTCTCCTCTAAATACAGGTATTATTATAACTATTAACTATTTAACTGTGGATATTTTGTACTGCTGCGTATTGCGTGCGCGTCTTTCTTACACAACGATCAGTACGTTTAACACGTTCCCATAAATTAAATACATGCACGAATAATAATAAACGTACGAGTACAGTTACGGTATCGACGACTACTGTCTACTTTATTGTATACTTAATATACTGTACTCCTTTATTAGAGGTGCTCCTTCAGATGGGTTGCGTCGGGATTTGTGGTTCCGACGTTCACTATATGGTACATGGAAGAATCGGTGACTTCGTGGTGCGACAACCTATGATAATAGGCCACGAGTCTTCTGGTGTCGTCGCCAAACTCGGGAAGAACGTGACTAATTTGAAGGTAAGGTAAACTGCAACACAGATTCCTCTCCGGACTCCACGCGAAACCGCGCGTGTATAAAATCGATCGATTTGACGATCCGGTCCAACAACGCGTGTATCGCTCGATACGAATCGATTTAAAAAGCACTTTTCTTTTCATTCGCCTGTATACAATATGTTTACTCATATGTTTCACACTATATTATACGTTCACTCGTTCCGTTACTCACTGACACTAACACCGACACACGGATTACACGACAGGTGGGCGACAGAGTGGCTATCGAGCCTGGAGTACCTTGCCGGAATTGCAGCTTTTGTAAAGGGGGACGATACAATCTGTGCAAGGACGTTGTGTTCTTGGCCACTCCTCCGGTTCACGGCAGCTTGAGACGTTATTACAAACACGCTGCTGATTTTTGCTTCAAGTAAGCGATTTGCGATCGATTCGTTCGCGTTTTCTTCCTGACGTTCCTAGACGGGTCGACAGGTTGCTGCCAGTTAGCTATAGAATCAGCAGAAGAACAATTCGATCAAAAGCTCTATGGCAGAACTCTGTATACTGACTCTGACAAATAGAACGTTATAAATTACACGTGATAATTAAAATATGAGAGAAAATCACACGCCCAACAACAATTTTATAGACAAGTCTTGCTTTTGAGTGTAAATAAATCATGTTTTTGCTGTTCGAGTATTCGAGTATTCAGCGCGAGTTCGACTCACACGTATGTATATCGCTTCGCGTCATTAGTCATTGGTCATTGGACTTTTTGTCAGATTTTTTTCAACTTTTGTCGGATTTTTGATCTTGTTACGTCGGTCGCATTAACGTACGAAACGAGTATGACGGATGAACCAATTCGACAGGAAAACTCCAAAAACAGAACGACGTTTCACATACACGCGTCGCAGCATATTATCCCTTTGCGGATGAGTGTCGGCAAATAGCCGCCCAAGTCTTTTTACCGTTGCAGACACGTGTTGGCATATAGCCGCCCAATTGTCGCGAACGATAAGATACACGTAGGTATACTAACCTGAGAAGTCAAGTTGCCTCTCAATGAAATTAGAAATTTTGTAGTGATGAAGTCTTGTCTTCCGTATAATGTAAACTTACGATGCGAGATCATGGTAGAGTCAGAACGAATTTCAGTTTGTGGAGTCAACCTTTCAGTGACACTACTCAGAGAAAGCAGCAAAGTTTTCCTCATATTTTATATCTTATAACATCTTATCCACGATGGCTGAAAGATCCAGAGATGATACGTTCAATAGTGACAGTACTGATGAGTTCCAGTTTGAATTTGACAACACAGAAGATTACGACATTGTTTTATTCAATGGAAGTGAAATCCTTGCAACAAGGAACGCACTCAGGCGTTTCAATGTGGGCAGTGATAGTAGCAGTAATAAAGAAACGAGTATTCAGGAAAGTGATAGCGGGTCGTCCACAGCGACGCTCGCCCGTCGGACAGCTCCGTCCGTAAAGGGTTATATCATCGTGCTTTGTACGATGACGGGTGCTTACGATAGAACGACACGATTTAAATGTATTTGTATTACCTCACGGCGGCGCACGGCACCGAATGCACGTGGATGGCACGGTACGCGGGGCGCGGATATTCGGGCGCGCAATACTCTTTAAAAATAGCCTTCGTATTACAGTCTAATAGTATTTGTCTGTCCACTGCGCTCTCAGTTCTTTGATTGAGACTCACCACTTAGAACGGTCATCTCTCGATGACTCGATTCACGCTGCACGCAACACGATTAATAGATTCAATTTGTCGCTCATCGCGAGACATGTGAGACTGACTCGCGTGGCCTGTGGTTAGTTGTCTACGAGTGCGCATCATTACGAACACGAGACATGTCACCTTGACGTTGACTCGCGTCTTCTTCGTACATCTCATCCGGTTCGACCCCTGTTCTCGTTAACTAAATAGACACCTAGAAAAATGATCCCGGCGGATATTGTGTATTCACCGCCGCCGCCGCCGCCGCCGCCGCCGCTGTCCGTCCGTCCGTTCAGAATTATTAGACTAAAACTTTGTGCGAGAGTTCGAAAATAATGTGACGGGAAGACGCAGATGGATCAGTCGATCTCCGGAAAATGTCGGAATTCCTCGGAAATTTTTGCTGATTGCTTTGCTTTAAAATTTGCTGCGCTAGGAATTTGCCGATAGATAGGCGATCTCTACACCCTGCTGCTGCTACTGCTGCTAATAAATAATAACCGTGTGTCGCCCGTGCAGGTTACCAGACCATGTAACTTTGGAAGAAGGAGCGCTGTTGGAGCCGTTGTCCGTCGGAGTTCACGCCTGCAAGCGTGCGAACATTGGCATTGGATCGAAGGTGTTGATCTTGGGTGCCGGGCCGATCGGTCTGGTCACCTTACTGGTTGCAAAAGCTATGGGTGCCAGCAAAATTCTTATTACTGGTAATTTTCTCCTCTCCGACGATTCGTTCTTCTTCTTCTTCTTCTTCAGCCAATCGTTGTTCGTCAGTTTAATCGAGTGACAAAAAAAATTAGGGCACGAAAATCAGTTAAAAATTCAGTCCATTGCGCATTTGTAAGCAATTACGATAGCAACGATTAACGAACACCAAACCATTCCGACGATTGACGACTATTAATCGTGATCGCGTTGATGTGTTCTTGGCGAACGACGAACGATGAGCAGATCTGGAACAGGACAGATTGAACCTGGCCAAGGAATTGGGTGCCGATTATACTTTGTTGGTGACCAGGCAAGACAAGGAGGATGAAAATGTGCGCAAGATTCATCAGCTTCTTGGAGAGGAGCCTGACAAGACGATCGATGCTTCCGGAGCTCAGTCTTCGATTCGTCTGGCAATTTTTGTAAGCCGCCACTCTTCTCTTTTCGTTCAAATCATTAATTCGTTCATTCATTCACTCGCTGTTACCTGGTATCCACCCTTATCATCTCATCTGCTGTATGTACACAGATGTACATAGCAGCAGGTATTTCCAATGGTGGTGCGAAATGGCAACGTGTATGAAAAACAAGCATTGTACATAGATAGAATGTGCCTTTATATGTGCCAATCGGTGTAATATATTCTAAGGTCATAGGGCCTTTGTTACGTATCGAGGTGAGAAATCGATATGTGTATATGCAGTAACTTACAGCAGCAACTACCAAACAAAATCGTATTATACATCGAAAGTACTACTACCATTGCTACTACTACTACTACTATTACTATTACTGCTACTACTAGTACTGAATGTCGCGCGCATTTTGTTAGGGAACCAAATCCGGCGGAGTGGCAGTTATGGTTGGAATGGGCGCACCGGAAGTTCAGATTCCTCTGATCAACGCGCTCATCAGGGAAGTCGACATTCGAGGAGTGTTCCGATACGCAAACGAGTAAGTCTTGGTTCATTACCAATGAAACGATCGTTGCTCGATACGATTTCTACTTGATATCCTGTGTGTGTGCGCGCGCGCGCGTGTGTGTGTATGCTACTACACTGTGTGTATTATGTACGATGATACACATTGTGTTATATCTAGTAGAAATTATGAGGAACTAGGAGCATTGTATGTATTGCTTGCAGCTTGAAAGAATAACATTAAACTTGTTTCAGTTACGCCGATGCGTTGGATCTGGTTGCGACGGGTAAGGTAAATGTGAAACCACTGGTAACTCACAATTACAAGATCGAGGAGACCGTGCAAGCCTTCGAAACTGCCAAAGCGGGACAGGGCGTCATCAAGGTGATGATCCATTGTTAGAAATTCTTGTGTGTAATTTTTGCTCATCATCAAAATCGGACCATTTTTTTTCAAGAAACACACTCGCGCGCGCGCATACACACATAGAGTTAATATCAGGAATCAAGAAAAACGGTCGTGCGTCTTCCGAATCGGAACGCGTTGCACAATTTAGACGTTAGATAACAACTAAATGAAAACAAACGTTATTGTTGTTGAGTTGCTTACACACAAGAATAATACGATGCCCGGAAGAACCGAAAGACCATATTAACACGTACGCGACGTACTTCCGCTGTGTCTACTACACACGTATATGTACAGAGTAAAACAGATTTCATTAAACACAGGAAAGTGGAAACTTTTTTTGTTGAGAACTTCATGTCTTACTGAACTTCACATCTTACTTGGAAATCTTGATAAAGAACAACGATAAAGTTTAATTTATTGGTTAAAATTTAGTTTCTTATTTGTGCGCTCGTATGTACATGATCGCGGTTCAGTGATTGGACGATGAACATGTATCTGAGAACACGCGAGACTATTATGTATATGTATGTATGTATGCTATGTATATAGGTACATATTGCGTGATACACAACGGCGGGCACGAGTGGATACGAGCGTTTTCTTTTTTTCGTCGCCGCTCGTATACATCACTATCATATCTTAACTTTGTGATAGTGATATCGTGATAAAAAATTGTTGCTGTACGTACAACTTACATAGCCAGTTGCACAATATTATTCTTATGTAACAACAACGACAACGGTCGTATATTTTCGATCTGATTCGAGCCTGATTTTGTTGTAAATCTTCATCGTCGATTAAACGCGTTTCTGACACTATCATTTTTATCCTATCAAATTTTGTTGATTGTTGAGATCGTTTGTAGTTCGTCGCGTCGTCGTGTGTTGTGGCTGTTATTGCCGGTTGTACTGTTGTTAATAAAAATTGTTAATATGCATAATCTATTGATTCATACCTATTGCTGTGCATGTTGAAAGAAATCGGGGATTCTGATCCAAGTGCAAAGATCTAAAAATCATTGAATCATTAAATTAATTTTATTCTATACCCACGAATTCGAGTAAAAGTTTCTTATTCTAATCGATTATGAATCATCAATGAGTAGATGAAAATCGATGAAATCGAACACGATGAGAAAGATATTCCGAGACAAAACTTTTCTTTCATCGTCTACCGTACACTGTAGCCTTATAGATGTTTGTCGAAATACGGTGGAGTATGGTGAATTTGAAGGATTCGGTTCAATCACGGAGTCGCGGGGTACCTATTACTCGTTGCGAGAGACTTTGAACTTGAACCATCTGCGATGTTCTGCGTCCCTCGACAATGACACCGCATGACTTCTTCCCTATTAGCCTTCTACGTTACGCGCGAGTGCCACTCGAACCGCGCGCAGCAGTCGCTGTTTTCGAGTTTCGATTCTCGCAGCGGCGGCCGCGGCGCGCGTGTAAATAAGCGTCATCGAAGTTCGTCTTTTGTCGACGCAGAGACACGTACGCAACGCCGTCGCGAAACACGCAGCTCTACCAAAAACAATTCCCGATCCACACGACTTATTGGTACGCTCGCGTGCAAAAATCACTCACTTTCATTCCCCCACCTTTCACCTGCAGTTTATCCTTCATCAGTCAGTCAAGAGTCTTTTCAGGAAATTATTTTGAATTGATGATCTGTTGTCACTCACCATCTGATCGATCGATATGCGGTCATCCCTTCCCATCATTTCTTATTTATTATACAATATTTAATACAAGTCCCTTATTTTTATCAGTCAATGTGTCAGGTCCGACTTACTTCCACGACTAACTACTCTCTCTCTCTCTCTCTCTGTGTCAACAATTCCGCAGCACAGATCCCGAATTTGACGATCTCCGAATTCTTTTTCTTATTGATCTTTCAATAATTATCAATTATTATAATCATGTCTACTACTACTACTACTACTACTACTACTACTACTACTACTACTAGTAGTGCTAGTACATCGTATATATAGTATAAACTTTCACTGCAGTTCTCTACGTGGCCGGATGACGATGCACATATTAATTGATTTCCTTGCTGCTCGCTCGATACACAGAGAGGTATCACCGCGTGCTAAAGCTTCCACAGTTTTCTAATTTGTGGCGATAGCAGTATCATTCTCTCCTCGGAGCTCGTTAAAACGGTCGTTATCGTTGCTGTCGTTAACTTCAGATTCGTCGTTGTCGTCGTCGTCCTTACACCGCGCTGCAACGCACACCGTACCAACCTACCTCTATTCTTGTAAAAAATCTTCTAAACGACTAACTTATTGCGAATACCAGAAAATAGGAAATTGAAGGCTCATACGCCGCTAAACGGTTATAGTAAGTATACACGGATACGATCACACTTTAAAACTAGAACGTGATTTAATAAAAAGTTGGTTAACTGCAAAAGAATACCGAAAGTAAATGGTAAACGGATCGTTGGAAATGTATTCATTACGTCGTCGTCGTCGTCGATCACTTCTATTATTGTTTAATTTGGAACGCTCTTCGATTTCTATGCGACTCGAAACGCAAATACAGTTATACATGAAATTCGTGTAATAATATTCCGTTGTCAACTGTCGACCTAATAATAAGAGTTCTGTCGCATTTGATGCGAAACCTTCAGGACCGTCCCCCGTTGTTCAACGAGCGTCTCTCTCTCTCTCTCTCTCCCTTAACACAGCAGTCGCTACTCTAGTCTTAGCCGTCATTGTACCTACCTGCATCTACTACTACCTATATTAATTACTATACCTGTACGACCTACCTGTGTGTACGTGTATGTATTTATGTATGTGTACATACGTTAGGTCAGAATCCAATGATTTACTGTATGTATAGTATACTATACTACTACAGACGTACGTACGTATCGTGTACACGTGCCTTTGATTTGCGCGAGTAGCGTCGCGGATTAATTAAGTACCATCGTCTATCGGCAGTCTGATTAAAATCTGGTATCTAGCATTGGTAGAAAGTTCCCGGGTGATACCCGGGAGGGAATAACCGCGGGACGGTCGTTATCGGTCTGTACTAGTAGTATATAGAACGCGAGAGGACCGAGTGATCGAGAGTGCGGGATAGGGGGGTAGAGAGTAGTGGATCGTTCGTTTGAAAAGCGGTGCATTATCGGGGACGGTGGATAATTAATTAGAGTGGCAGCGGGAATGTAAACAGAGATTCGGTCGGACGACTCGGAATCGGCCGACTGGAAGATTTTCGTGTTTCGTCGGTTTGGTCTTTGGGGCAAACATAATCGACGTCGACGCCGCGTTTCCCTTGAGATTCCCTGTGACGACGCGAACGTCGTCGCCGTCGCGTCAACGACGAAATGAGCATAACTTTGATGTGTAACTCGTTTTTTCTTATTAGCGTAGTAGAGATACATAGCTCGTCGAGATCACGACGCACTTGTATTATACGAATAATGATGCATTTTTATACATTTATTCATTCTTTCGACGCTTTCTAATAAGTACGTTACGTACGTCAGATGATAAGGACAACGCGCGCGTTCGAGAGCGAAGCGGGAGTTACGACGCGTATCCGCTTTGAACTCGCCGCCGCCGCTGCTTTGTCGCGATTCCCTAACGCCCTTTTTTACGTTCCACCACGCATCCGTTCTGTCCGCCGCCGCACACGGTTTCCTCCGGTTCTACTGTGCACTTTCTCTGTAAAGTGCTTGGACGAGGAGACTGAGAGATTGAGAGTGACTATTTTCTATCGTTCAATTTCACACAAGACATCAGCAATCGCATTAACAGCGAACGTTCCGTACGTAATTGTATTTATTGGTATGTGGAAAAATTGGGTTTGTCGGAAATAGGAACGGTCTGATAATCATATTCAAGAGATAGATTTCTTTGTGACGTAACGTTTGTAGAACATTTTGTTCGTGTGAATTTTTAACGACGCGAGGAATCGCAATTAAAAATGTGACGACGGCGGCGTGGGGGAGAGGGGTATACGATGAAGTAGAAGAAGTGTGGGCGATGAGAATGTGTCGAGAATGAGGAGTAGCAGGAGCAGCAGCAACAGCAAAGAGACTGCGAGGGATAGAAGAATTTGTAGGCGCGCGTATAGCCTTCACACACTCGTTACACGCTTTCGGATTAATAAGACAGACCGAGGAGAACTGCAGTGGTCGTTCAACTTCCTGTATCACTTTCTAAGCGCAGCCGTCTGTGAAAAACCGCGCGAAGCTCGCTTTTTATTTAGTAAAAGCTAAAGTGGAACGAACCCGCCTTTGATCATTCGAATCACGTCCTTTCCCCCGGATCTCTCTAACCGTTCTCCAATCCAAACAGTCTACAGTCGTACAGTTTTTAATCAACTCGAATCATCCAACGAGTCGCGACAACGACGACGGCGAGGATCGACCTATCGACACATCTAACTAAGCCAAAAATATTAAAAGATACTGTCGTTTATTCAACGTGCTGTCGCAAAGACCGGCTACACTAGGAGCGTTCCAAGGGTGAACGATCTTTTTAGTTCTAGTGGCCTCTGCTGTTCGTTGCACTTCATCGGGCTTACGCGATTAGGTCCGGGGTTTTGCTCCCACCATCAGAGGCATCCGATCTGATGCATCGACGAGTCGGCGATCCTGCTCTCCAACTTTCTCTGTCTTCTGATTTTCTTACTGATTACTACGCGAAACAAAAACACGGGCCAAGTATCTACATATAAAGTAAGAGTTAAAAACACTCAAGTTACACAACAGATTTGCACTCGCATAAGAGGCGTGTAGGACGGTTTAAAACAGAAACGGAATTATTTCGAATCGTTTACGAGTAAAGAATCGACGACGGGTTCGTTCCCGAATAGCTGGTTACGACTACGACTCACGTGTTTACGACAGCATCGCGGTCGCAACAGTTTTGTGTTTGTGCACGGGCCGCGAGATAAGCGGTCAGTTTTCACGGTATATATAAATGCGGGTTACATACATTATAATACGTTCGTATTACGGGCCGCGTGGCGGTGGTAATTAGCCGACGACGGTTCATCAGTCACTCCGACACATAACTGACCTCCCCCCCTCCAACTCCTCCTCCCCCGGTACGGGGTATCTCCCGAGCCGAAACAAAAAAAAAAGTGTTGATCCCTCTCGAAGCGCAACAACCCGCTACGCCGATACACCACCACGCTTACCCCCCAGCAGCTAGCAGCCAGCAGCAGCAGCAGCAGCAGAGTCGTACCCGTCAAACCCCGCGGACGCATTAAGAACGTAATGAAACGTCGGATCGTGCCATGAAGGAGACCAGCTTTCAAGAACCAGAATCGCACTCTGATTTACGATTTTCGTCTCTTTCGTGTCTTGTTCGAGATCTGTGCGATGAGTAATAGCATTTCAACAATTTTATTCATACCCTTTGATTCGTACTTAAATTCGTACAAGACTTCTTTGAAAGACGTAGCATTTATAATTATTAATTTAAAAATTGAAATCTACATGAAAAAAATAATTATTACATCTTCTGCCGTTTATAGCCATTGACCCGGCCGCCGGTATTGAAGCATTCGTTGACCTTGTCGGTCGTTAGACGACTTTCTGCAAACACAATTTCTTCGAATTAAATCCGTGTGCGTTTATCATCGATGATCGAGCAACGCCGCCGCCGCAATACTTTCCTTATAGTACTTCGGATTAGATGATTTAGATTTAGCCTTTAGCCGGAGACACGGAGACTGGAAAGGTGAGCTTTCACCTCGAGCTCCGTGGGGGTGGTTTCTCGATGATAAAGTGCAAGGAGAATCGCGCACGAGGTCACCCCGAGAGCGCGGTCCCATTGGCAGCTCGGTTTCAGCGTAGGATCGTGATTGGTCGGAGGTCGTGGGTCGCCTCACCTACCCTCTATCCGACGTGACCTCCCACGCGAACTCACGAGATAACTACTACCACCACCCTTCCACCTTTTCCGGG